AAAATAACTTAATTTTTGATAAAAATAAATCAGAACCAATTTTTAAAAACTTCTTAAAAATTTTAGCAGGCAAATTTACCTGCTAAAATGGACAGTTTAAGAGATAATATGAATAAATATAAAAATAAAATTGCTATTTGTAATAATATATGTTTAGATATAAAATTTATTGTATTTATAAAATTTAAGTTTATTTATGATTAAAATTTATTATTATTAGTTATTATATTAAATTTACTTTTAATTTAAAATTATATTATTTGAATTTGTATTTAAAATTTGTATCTAATTTAGGATCTAATTTGGGATTTGCATCTAATTTGGGATTTGTACCTAATTTTGGATTTGTACCTAATTTTGGATTTGTACCTAATTTGAGATTTGTACCTAATTTGAGATTTGTACCTAATTTGACTTTTGGATTTTGATAGTGGGATTTGGGATTTTGAATTGGGATTTATAGATTTGAATTTGGGCGGCAAGTATACCCATGTAAACTATCTCAATTTCAACAACATACTGTAGTCAAAGAATCATAAGTAGGTTCTGTATGAAATTATTTACAATAGAAATTATGATACAGCAATTTTCGATGCAAACAAAATCATCTACACTACATATTGTAGTTACTGAATAGCAAGTAAATCCTGTAACAGAATTTTTTCAGTAACTTATGATAAAATTCATGCGAATTCTAATGCAGATTAACTCAAACTTATCTACATACTATGATCACTAGAATGTGATCACTAGAATAGCAAGTAACTATAGCAGAATTTTTTACAGTAGCTAACAATTAAAATCACGATAATTCGGATGCAAACAAACTCAATCTCATCACATATTGTAGTCACCATATCGATAAAATGATAATAGTTAATTAGAAGTAAAATAAATAAAATAAAAATTAAAACAGAAGCTAGCTACTTGTGATAAAAAAAATTGGAATAAAAAATCATATATTAAATCTTGCCCGAAAATATAACACAGGTGACTGAAGGCCACAACAAATAATGTGCAAAGATTCTCATTATTAATACAAAGCTCTATCTGTTTTGTTATAAATTATAATATGAAATCAATGAGACTTGCACTAAATACACTATAATTAATATGTAGAAGATTAGTATATAGTAATATAACTCCCTTTGAACAATTCAGCGCCTAGTTTCCACAAAGGCTATTTTTCGCTTTAAACGAACGTCAATATTCACTGAAAAAATAATCTCAAAATATTCTGAAAACTGACAAACTTTACTTGGAAGACAAAATATATAATAAATGCGCACGGTCAAGTGTACGCGCATTGGGAACATAAAAAAAGGTAAATATGCATTTAATAAGGTGTGCACTTGAGAGCAGAATATGTAATGCTCTTATAAGTTGGGCCAAACTATGCCGAGTATTTTGAGAGAATTTGCATAGAACATGCATTTATAGAGTGTGCACTTAGAGAGGTCTGCCTATAATAAAAAAGTTCCTATCCAATACCTATATAATCCACAGTCCCATAATACTCCTACTATTTCTCCTTCTTAAAACCCCAAGCTTCATAGAACCAGTTCTTGTAGGTACCTTGCAATTGATCCCAGATCTTTTCTTTCTCAACTTCGGACCAGCATCTTGGAATAATCTCCCTCTTTGTAGCTAGTCCTGTGGCCGTTGAATTCCGAATGACTCTTACCATGGGCAATCCCTCTTCGTATTCGGAGTATACATCCTTAATGGCATTCAACTTCTCGATGCCTTTTACTTGATGGATCATGATGGTCTCGCCAAAGATGTGAAGGTCCAGATTTTCGTCAAAGTCATGGATGGGATTTTGGCGGATGGGCACCCAACTTGTAAAGCCAACATAGTGCACGAAGTACTTCTTCTCCCTAGCCACATGACATACCCACTTACCCACTAGCCAGTCTTCATTACCTACGGCATTTGAACCAGCCCAGTCGGATCCAGCAATATCTATAACGAGGTCGCGGGAAAGTGTGTATCCCGCACCTTATTTCGAGTGTAAATAAAGTAGATCAAAAAGTGCATGAAGCGTTAAGGGAATAAAAAAGCATACCTCCCATAAACGTGTATGTTCCATGTTCATATCCTAGAGCATTGCCATAGTACGCACGTTCTCTCGGTAAATCTTGAAGGTCACGGTAATAGTGAATAAGGTGGATGAAAGTGTCATCGTCCAATTTGACCATATAATTATCCTCCCTCTAAATGTACTCAAAATAAATGCCTATTGACATGTGCTGTCTCATAACAAGACAAAGTTACTCACATTCTTAGCAAACCAATTGAAATATTCAAACGTCTTTCCTTGATTCATGTTCTCTGTGATATTCATAACAACAATATCTCCGTACATTTCAGATTCTTCCTCTAGCTTATCTTTATATTCATCCTTTGGCAGTCCCAGGATAAACCTAATCGTCACGGGCGATTTCTTGACTCCGAGATACCGTGTCAGAGCTTCATTATTGTGTGTATACAGCTTGCGTAAGCACTCCCTAATCTCGATCTTCTCATCAATGGTCAGAATTCCGATGAAGATCATTAAGTTCTGGTTTACGCCCGGAGGGGGTTTGGTAGAGATATCATATAATAATGGGACTGTCGATTCTAAGAGTTGAAGGTAGTACGAAAAGTAATAAAGTATACAGAAGCTGAGGCCAAGGGTGAGGACAAGGGTGAAGAAAGTGGCATAGTGTTTATGGACCGTGGCTTTGGAATCACAAATCTCGAATATACGACACATATAAATTAATGTATGTGGAAGAGATTTAAGTGGATTCGGAATTTTTTAAATCCACTTCCATTTTTTTTAGTTAGTTTCTGGGAAATTTTGGTTGGTATCGACATTTATTTTTGGCAATTGATTTTTTTCAAGTAGCTATTTTTGGAGGTCGGCTAAAGCGGTTGTCTACATGTATGATGTCGATCAGTGAATGATTATCTACATTTACTAACGCTAACGAAATTTAGTATTTTTTATTAGTAAAGCTTTCTCAATAACTATCGCTATGTAATTAATAAGACTTTTTTTATTCAATTATACAAGTTTGCAGAATTGGATCTTTTCTCGTTCGGCAGTTGGTCCATTTCTTAATTTTTGATAGAGCCATTTTTCGGCTTGTTAGATTTATTGAGTTTGGCCTGGTAGTTATCGAGGAACATTTATTTATTTAAAGTTTAAAAAACATGAAATAGAAAGATACAGAAATATGGCTACAATCATGATTTTTTAAAATTTAAACAAAAATTTCTCGATAACTACTAAATCAAATTCAATGAAAAATTTTTATTCTACAAGTCTGTAGAATTAAAATAAAAGAATATATTGAACTTGCATTTGTAGTTGATGAGGAATATTGATTAGACCTTCAAAAAAGATTTAGTGGCAGCTTCTCATTTATAGGTGCTAAAAATTTTAACGAAGATTACTTGGCACATATTTAATCAATATTTTTTATTTTAATTCTATGAGATTGTTAATTAAGAATCTGTTAAAGAGATGTTGTGGTTATTTTTTTTTAACTTACAATTAATATTTCTCAACAACTACCAATCCAAATTCAATAAAATTTTTTATTTTAATTTACAACTAGGCGCTTGAGTTGTTTAAAGGGAGTTAGAACAGAGTATGCTATATCATATTGTAGTAAAATTCTCAAATTTTTATCAATTTCATATTATAATTTATAGCAAAACAGGTAAAGCTTTGTATTAATGATGATGAGAAATTGTTTGATGTTGCCTTTACACGCTATATGTTTATTGTAGTGTTATTGGTAGAGATTTTTATACACTTCAGGTTATGTATAAAATTTTATTATTTCAAACTTTTATATCACAATTAAGTAGCTAACATGTTGCCTTTTTTTTGCTTAATTAAGGTTACTTTTATTTAATTACTCTATATTGTTATTACAATGCATTCCATATTAAGTTATTTATTTATTATTTTCTATCACTAGCATAATACGGTGATTACCATATGTGATTGAGTTTGTATCAGAATTATCAATAAGTATGTAGATAAGTTTGAGTGGTTTGCATTGGAATTGATATGATTTTATTATTAGTTACTGAAAAATTCTGCTACAAAGCTTACTTGCTATTCCATTAATCACAAGTAGTTAAGGCAAGTTAATTTGCATCAGAATAATCATAATTCCTATTGTGCGTTACTGTAAATAATTTCATGCAGAACTTGCTATTTCGGTGACTATAGTATGTAGTTAAAATTACATTGGAATTATTATGATTTTTTATTATGAATTACAGTAAAAAATTCTACTACAGAACTTACTCGCTATTCCAGAAGCCATAATATATGGGTAGGTTTGATTTAGTTTGTCTTGTAATTGTCATAATTTTTATCAGTTACTGTAAATAATTTTGTTGCAGAACTTACTTGCTATTCTGGTGACTACTATAATTGCATAAGGTAGGTTAGCTTACAATGAGATTAACAATTATTTGTAAATTACTAAAAAAGGTATATTACAGAGCTTATTATTCAGGTTAAATGAGTTTATACAAGTGTGAATGGCGCCCCTTATTGTTTTTGTATAGTTGGTTATTGTTGTTTATAATTTTATTTTTTATTTTGATTTTGTTGATAATTGGATTGGTATGGGTTTCATAGTTTGTATTTATTGGGTAATCGATTAGTTAATAGTTATTATTTTGTTATTTTCATGAATGTAATATTGCAGGACCCTGGATAATTCTAAGGTAGGTGGTAGGGTAAAGGAGGGTAGATTTTGGGCCAAATTTGTCTTTATTCTGGTCAAAACTAAAATTAAAAATTGATTTTGACCAGAATTTAGACACGTTTGGCCCAAGAAATCTACTCTCCTTTGCCATACCACCTACTTCAGAATTATCTGGGGTCCTAATATTGCATTGTTAATTTTTATTTTTTGTTGATTTATTGTTTTTTTGTCTTCTGTGTGATTTATGCATATATAATTAGAATGTGTTTGTTTTTGAATTTTATAATTGTTGTTTTTTTTTTGTTAGGTTGTTTTATTGATTAATTTTTTATAAGTAATTTGAATATTTGTTGTTATTTAGGATTATTAGGTCGAGTTGTATTTATTTAATAAATGTGTTAGAGTTTTTAGGATATTATATTTAAGAGTGTTTTTAAATATAATGCATGTATGTATACGTATTAATATTGGTTTATAATTGTTTGGAAATTGTTTGCTTGTTTGTTGTAGTTTCAAAGTATTGGTTGTTTAAGTTTATTATTGTATTTGCATTTTCAGTTTTTTAGTATAATATTTGAAGACTGTTTTAATTAATTATTATAGTTTATTTAATTTTCATGTTAATAAATTATATTGTTATTTAGATATTATTTGTTATATAGAAGTTTTTTTTTTTGCATTATTGTGTATTTAATAAAATGTTGTTATTTTTTTATTATAATAAAAAATAAATTGATAAGTAATGTTAATAATTTTTATATACATTGATAGATATTTTTATGAAATTTATATATAATAATAATAATTTTTTGTTATAATATTTATAAGTTTATGGAGGAACTCTTCCCGATGATCACTTGTACCAAAATTTCAACTAACAAAAAACAAAACTTTTGTTGGAAAGATGTGGCCTTATGGTGCAGTTTGTCTAGAGGTCAACTGCTTTTCTAAGGGACTCCTCTAAAATAGATATTTGGCATACAAGCTAGGAGCATTATTATACAAAATAACTGGCAGGCAGTGCCTTTGTATAAAAAATCTTGGTGAAGAAAAAGTCTAAAGTAGGCTTATACTTTGTCGACGAAGCTCAAAGGCTGTTACTTCAAAGAAGAACACAGGGGAAACAACAGAAGTTTTGAATTTTAACACACTCCTTAGAAGTTTTGAAAGTACCTGCAACTAAAGTCTTTCTACCATATTTTCGCTATTTTGGAAATTTTTTTTAGAAATTTTGGCCAAAAAGTGGGAAACTGGTGTACCCCTCCAAAGATCAGCAGTGTTTACTTCTTTCAAATTAGGATGCATCTACTAAAATAGAACCTCCTACGAGCTTATTTGGATTCTGCTTTACCAAATAAACAATGACAGCAGTACTGTTTATAGTATAGAGGATCAAAGGGATCACATATAAAAATTTCTTAATGTTAGATATTTTTTTTCTTTCTACTTCTTTTTATTACATATAGTGTTAGATTAGATTTATTTTCTATACAACATTATATAATTTTTATAGCCTAGCACAGGCAATAATAGTGCCATAATAGCTAGTGATACCACCAAAATTGATTTTCAAAAAGGTCTATTTCGTCTCCATTAGAGCAAATTAAAATTTTATAAGAAAGAGCAAATAAAATTTATATATTTATACTCCTTATAATTTCGTCTATTCAAAAAAAGAATCAAAAATTTTGTCTTTTAAGTAAAATAGGTTAAAAACAATTTTGTCTTCAAATTTTAATTTTGGGTTTTAGAACCCAAAATAATTTTGTTGGCATGTATAGTTATAGCTGTCTTTTTTTCGGCCTTTTTCTTCTTGTTTCCTTTTCACTTATTTGTTTTTTTTTTTGTTTAGTTTAGACTTTCTTCCTTTTTAGTTTTTTTTTTATTTCATATTTGTTTTCTTTTTTTTTGTTATTTGTTGGTAGTTCTTTTACCTAGAAGGCTAGGAAAAGAAGGTTGAGAAAGAAGGTAGTTATAATGGGCTGATGAACTAGGGCAGTGATCCGAAGCAGGCCTTTCTATAGCAGTTTTATCCAAACCAAGAAGCTTGAACTCATCATTGGCAGGTTGTATATGTGCTAAGTTAGTATTTAGTTATGCAAAGTAACTGGGTGAGTCATATTCCAGTTTTTGCTATAAGGCATAGTGTAATTCACTAATTCTTGAATTAGTAAAATGATATTAATAAAGCAGAGCATGTGATATGACTATCAATTTTTTTTTTTTAAAAAAAAAATATATATTTATAAGTTTAAGTTGCTAATATTTGATGTATATTTAATTTCATTTATTTTTTATTGCTTTTATTATTATTTATTCCTTAAATTGTTTTGCAGCCAAATTTGCTTGCAAACTTTTTTAAATTTTAAAATTTTTTAATAAAATTTTAAA